AATGCCAAGGACATAGCAATGCTTGAGCGATTACTTCTAGGCAATGACTACGATGACAACATAGAACCTTTGGATAGTGTTGCCCATTTGGACAGTTTTGACAGTGATGATGAGACCTATGATCCCAATCATGAAGATTATTCCTAATACATGTAATACTATGTTTTTTTAATTCGTGTTTTGTTTATATATTTTGAATCTATTTCTAATATATGTACTAATTAGTCTTGTTCATTCTTTGTGATTGCAGGTGATTGAACAAAGATGGCGAGCAGATGTCCACGCTGTGACACGCCCTCGGTTTACGGGAGAGACTACCCTCTCCTTCGAGGTGAGGGGTCGTCGTCCGGGGCAGCGTCCGCAGGAGGTGACGAGAGGAGGACCGGTGGCAGCAGTCGCAGGAGGCAGCGGTCTCCTCCCTCACCACGTGACGAGGTGCTGGAGGAGGAGCACGTGATGGCCACGGCCACGTCCTTGTCGAAGGACGAGAGGGGTCAGCAGATGGGCGAGGGAGGCGAGGCGCTCAAGGGCGAGGGAGGGGGTACCGCTACCTGGACTCCCTACGAGTGAGGTCTCGCGAGCCTCCCTCCGGTTCCGCTTCCTCACAACCGCCTAGTGATTCAGCCTATGGCAAAGAGGTAAGTAACTATAGATGTTATCACAACTACTTCATAAGATATGTTGGAAATCATAAGAGAAACTGATAAATTTTCTTAATCACTTGTGCAGGGCCTGGTTGGTTTTGTCAGGTACTCCAGCACGCACCCCCATGAGCATCCTTGGTGTTTTGTGTAGGAAATGGTACCCCGGCATGGTGCAAGCGTCCAAGAGCCGGTGGTGGGAGCCGACCCTCAATCGACAGAACAGTACGCTTGGCTGGTCACGGATGACACTTACCGCAACAAGCAGGAGCGGGTATTGGCGGAGTTTTGGGTAAGTTTCTCTCGCACAACATTGCTTAATACATCTCATTCATTGGTTAAATGTTTTATTGAAATAATGAATGGATACATCGGTTTTGTATGCGTAAAATTTTCAAGGTCGAAGAAGGACTTGAGGCCCAGCGGATCAAAGTAATTGCTGCAGCCTTGTAGGAAGTACGCCACCGAGATGCACCACCATGGGCATGTCCAAGCCCACATAGACTACTATAGGTCGGGTACTTGGCAATCCCTCCCAAGCCTCAAGCAAGACCGACATTCTGTTGACCTAGGACCAAGACTTTGAGGTAGGCGAATAACATTCATAATGATTCATTTTGATATTAAGTAGGTTCAATTTCATCTTCTTATATGTCAAATACTTGATGACTTGTAGGTGATTCCCTGGTGGTGCCGATCGTATCCCGAGTGCTGGGCCATGATCGTGGACAAGTGGTTATCATAGGACTTTGTTGGCACACACGAGAGGCAGCAGGAATAGCGTCTGATGAGGCAAGGTCCAACTCACCATCAAGGCAGCCGCAGCCTCCCCGGATACAAACAAGCATACGTAAGTGATTTCTTTCATTTATTTTGATGCTCAATTCTGCTTGATTTCTCACCATCTTCCGTCTTTCTCGCAGGAGGCTGCGCACCCGGGCGAGGAGGTCTCGGAGTTCTCTGCGTGGGCTATGTCCCACATGGGCAGGGCGTCGTCCTCTGTCTCCTTCGACCCGGCTGCCCTGCCCCAGGTGTACTCCGACCCGAATGTGTACACTAAAGTCCAAGAGTACAAGTCCTTGGTAAGGGATATCTATGAGGAAGATTACAATGTGCGCACTGAGCCCATTGATGCAGAGACGATCATGAGGCTTGGAGGAGGCAAGAAGCACGGGCGGCTGTGGATTGCAGACGGTGCCATCGACTCCACCACTGTTCCCTCCCTCGACGCTATCCGAGCACGGAGCACGAGCTCTAGCCAGCCCATATGCTCACGGCCTTCTCCAGCACTGCAGCAGGTCTAGGCACTCCAGGTAATTCCTGTTTTACTCGTCGTGCGTTGATATTTACACACCTAAATTAGATTTGCATTACTGATACATTGGAGTGAAATATTGCAGGCCGAGCTGGAAGAAACAAAAAGGCAAAGTCAAGAGCGAGAATCGTGGGCCGACCAAGACAAATCAAGCAGGCCCAAAGAAGTCGCGTTCGAGGCATGGCAGCAGATGGCGGAGATGATGGTGATCATGCAAAGTCTTAGGCAAGAATCGGGTGTACCTGTGCAGTTTTTAGCTCCTCCACCTCCTACTCCTGCAGCTACTCCTGTAAGTATGAAAGTTCACTTTTCGCTTGTGCTTTGCATGTATGTCGGCCTTCGTGCCGTTGTGGATGTCGGCGTTCGTGCCGTTGTGGATGTCGGCGTTCGTGCCGTTGTTTCTTGCAGATTTTGGAAACCTCCCCGTGCAGGGGAGGTGCTGCCGAAATTTTCAATTGAGTCTAATCTTTTTGTATTCCTAGATTACTAGATGCAATCTCTAAGTTCCAAAACTGTTTTCCCGGATTACTCACACATGCAATCTCTGCTCCTTTGTGCAGCCTCCGTCCGCGAGTTCCAATCAACCCAGTAGTTCATCACCGGCTGATCCCGTCTTTCCTTCACCACCGTCTCATAGGCTACCTTGATGAGGACTAGTGCTAGGTGATGTGGTTGGACTTTATTGTAATATTTGTGGTTTATGGTTCTGACTTGTGCTTGGATTTCATGAACTTATCGTAATAAACATGTGAATGATGATGAACATGTGACTTGTCGTTGTAATATATTATGATTTGTGGTTCACAATTATGGTTGTGATATATTGTGAGAAAATAGGTTCTGTGTGATATATATATATATATATATATATATATATATATATATATATATATATAATGCTTGTGTTGATGGAATGCAAAAAACAAAAAAAAATTAAATTTCTGCCTCTTTGCTGAGGGCAATAACCAAGGCCCTCGGCAAAAGAAGGGTCCTTTGGCGAGGGCTGTCCCATTACCCTCGGCAAAGATTTTTTTTAAAAAAAATAAAATTTCTGCAACATTTCTTTGCCGAGGGCCATGGTTGGGGGCCCTCGACAAAGTCTTTTTTTTAAAAAAAAATAAAATTCTTTGCCGAGGGCCTGAGGGGAAGCCCTCGGCAAAGATTTTTCAAAAAAAAAGAATAATTCTTTGCCGAGGGCCGTCCCATTGCCCTCGGCAAAGATTTTTTAGAAAAATTATGCATATTTCTTTGCCGAGGGCCATGCTTGGAGGCCCTCGGCAAAGATTTTTCAAAAAAAAAAATCTTTGCCGAGGGCCCCCGGAGACGGCCCTCGGCAAAGACTCGTCCCAGCGCCCGGCGCCTGTGGATTTGCCGCTTTTCTTTGCCGAGTGCCGCTCCAGCCCTCGGCAAAGGCTTTGCCGAGTGCCCGATAAAGGGCCCTCGGCAAAGACCCTCTTCGCCGACTCAAAATTCCCCGAGAGCTCTTTGCCGAGGGCCGCCCTCGGCAAAGCCTTTGCCGAGGGTTAATGGGCCTTTGCCGAGGGCCTAAGGCCCTCGGCAAAGAGGCCATCTCCAGTAGTGATAGGCCAATACAATAAGACAAGGTGCTGTCATTTCTTTAGCAATTAGATGAGTTGAAAGTTTTCCCCTCAGCAATATAATGCGGGAGCACATAATTATAAGGGAAAATTGGTTCTGTAGCATCAAAAGGTTGCGACCTCCGTAAAATACCACTGAAAGAATTTGGCCCCGTAAAATAGCACCGAAGGTTGTCACCGTAAACTAAAAATAGCACTCCGTCAGATTTTACACTCAGGAGCGTTAATTTGACCTAGACTCCAAAAGTTAAGTGACATTTTGCCCTTGCCTTATCCTCATCCCTGTCCTCATACGGGAACTGCGCCGCGCATGGTTCTGCCTAGGAGCGCCGCCTCCGCCCGTCCGCCGGCCGCCTGGGAGCTCTGAGGGCCTCCTGCGCCGGCCGCCACGGCTTCCTCTCCTCGCGCAGGTCGCTCCCCATGTGGAGGTCGCGCCATCCGCCATGGATGGCTGGTACTGGCGAGGCCGCCGCCCAAGGCTGCGCCGGCCATGGGCGCTGTCGTCGTCGGAGGCCGCGCGCCGCCTTCGCCCGTCACGCCACCACAGGGAGCTCCGAGGGCCTCCTACGCCGGCCGCCGCGGCTTCCTCTTCGCGCGCAAGCCACTCCCCGTGTGGAGGCCGCGCCGTCCGCCGTGGGCCACCACCTCCTCCTCCTCGACTGCGTGTTGCGCCGCCCGTGACTCCTCCTCCAGTGCGCATGTGGTGGAACAATGCATCGATCTGAGATCCCCGACGGGTAAGAATGAAACCCTAGTTATCTACTTCATGGTTCGTAGAACAACTGAAATTAGTTACGAAGTCTGATTTGTGTGTGCGATTTCATGGGGTATGAGGATGGTCACCGATGAGAAAGGGCATCTGGAAGCAGTGCTTTTTTTTTTTTTTGCACTGCTACTATTTCAGGATTGATCCAAACAATGCATGTCGAGTAGTGATTGATGTTTCTTCCTACTCAACTGTTGAGGATGGTCGATCTGTGTACAAAATGGATAGATGCTTGGACCGGTGGGTGGATGCAGAAGACAAGGTGCTGTCATTTCTTTAGCAATTAGATGAGTTGAAAGTTTTCCCCTCAGCAATATAATGCGGGAGCACATAATTATAATTTGAAAACAAAGTGCAAAAATATAATGTGCAGAATTTCTCCTTTTCTCCCACCAAAAGGATATATTTTCAATGAACTCGCAGCACATAGATCTAGCTATAAGCTGCTTTGACAATTCTATCAAAGGCCGACACTGCACCCTTTTCTACAACTCCAAGTCACTCTGACACTTGACATAGCCAACTGTAGAGTGAAAAGGAGATTACTGGCGCCTCAATGAATGAATTGCAAGATGATGTGTCAAATGAGATTACAAGCAGGCATGGCATCCTAGAATTAACGATTCAATTTTCGCCGATTAGGAAACCCCATCGCACCAGTCGGCGCCGCGGACGCCGTGATGGGCTCCGGCTCCAAGGAGGGGGACGAGTGGGTGCTCAGCCACGGCGACGTGGTGCTCATCCGCTCCGATCTCGCCATCCTCCGCGGGCCCCGCTTCATCAACGACCGCATCATCACCTTCTACTTCGCGCACCTCTGCGGCGTCTACGTCATGGCCATCGCCAGGGCCATCTGCGCCTGGTGGAACGAAGCCCAGGACCACCGGGGACGGGGTGGGGATTGGCTCGAGGTGGTGAGGAGGGAAGTGGATGCCCGCAGCGTCAAGGCCATGAGCACCGACCTGCTGCAACTAATCAACACCCTCATCCAAGAGAAGGCCAAACCCAATTCCATATCTGAGGGAGACACTATCAGATTGATAGGCAGTAGCTTAGTTGCTGCTAGTGATTTCTCAACTCTCAAGTCTGGTACCCCCTGTTGATCTTAATCAAGGGTTCTCTTGCTATGTCGCCTTGTTTGTGAAGAAGAAGAACTGGTAGAGCATACACACTTTGTGTAAGTATGTAGTGAAGTCTTAGGAAAATACATCTGTCCATGTGAGTAAAGTTTTGGCAAAACCCAGTAGCAAATTAACTATTACTGATCATAATCAAAATGCTGCGATCTCACCGTGCTTATGCTTGCAAGTTTGTTGAGTTTGAATGGATTCGTGTTGAAGTTCTATGCCTTTGGAGTTTGGATATTAGTCCAGTGCAGGTGTATTTGGATGACAATTGAGAATTAGTTGATAAGAGCGAAATGGTTGGTTGAGCAGTTCAAGTGTTGTTTCCTGAAATTTGTATTCACTGGAATTTTAGAACTTGAGAGCTACGTTAAATGTGTTTACATGTTTCTTACTCAAATGTTTCATTGAATATGCATATTTTATATTGTAAAACATGCAAGTTTCTAGTATTATCATTCTAGAAACACCTGCTGTTCAACTAGGTAATCCTGAACCTGTTCTAGTTGAGATGTATTATGTTCAATTCTAGTTTAAGCTTACCTGGTAGCACCACTGATCTTTTGCCTTTCTGTTGGCACGGTTTATTATCAAATGTGTTTTAATATTTTACTATAATGAACACTATATGTCGGTGCGAAAAGTGACAAACAACTAAATATTTGTACTTTTGTCGTGCGTTGTGATCGGATGTGGCCTAGCACTCAATGACACATGATTTATACTGGTTCAGGCAACGTGCCCTATGTCCAGTTTCAGTCGGTCGGTGACTTTATTCCTGAGCCCAGGTGCTCGAAGTTTGTTGTGGGGTACAAACGAGTGGGAATAAGAAGGGGGTGTTAAAGGTCCGGTCGGACTCTGAAACGAAGGGCCGAGAGTGACGGGGGCTCTAACGTGCGCTAAGTATTGGAGCGTATGCTCTGTATAGCTTTAGAGTTCTAGAGTTATTGAGCTATTCGAGTTCTCAGGTTCTCGAGTGCTCGAATCGTCTAGCTTCTCTTTTTTGAGAAAAGTCAGAGAGAGCTTTTTAGGATATAGCTCATCCTCTTTTATAGTCGAAGGGGATGGCCTTATAAGTCAGAGAAAGAGAGAGAATGTATACGTGTGCGACCTAGTCTTGTTGCCCATGTTGTTGGGTACGAGATGGTCATCGGCGCCTACAATATTGTTTGTGTTCTGACACACCTGGAAGGTTGCATAGTGCCCATCTGGCATGGCCTAGTGGCACCGTCCTGCAGGTGCGCAACGTATGGCAGGGTACGGTCCTCGGTATTGCGGTTTGATTTGAGAGACTTACCTTATCTGCTCCGCCTGATCCCCGGGCCCTCACCGAGTGGGCGTCCCCAGTCGGTCGTTCCCAGTCGGCCTCGACCGTATCGGTCGGGGAAGAGCCACGAGTAGAGGTCCGACGTATCCCCGGTCGAAAAAGGAGGTTGGAGTCGGACTGTGTCCCCACCTTGGCCAAGCATTCCGGTCGGGGACCGAATCATTCTCTTGGCCTGTCATTATGTATCTAGGCCAGCCCGGGAGGTGCGTGTTGTCGTTACGCCGTCTGCTGGGCCGATTTTTTGCAGGGAAGCGGGTCCATTGGGGACCCCAGGTTTATAAACCCGACAGGAGCCCCAAGCCCTTTTGGGACTTCTATGAAGTCATGAAGGGGTTGTTTACACTCATTTCACAGAGCGCACCCGGTGGGTGTAAGATCATGGGTCACCGTCGAACAAGACGGAGCGCAAACCCGAAGTGTCGGGCGAGACGGAGCGCCAACGCAAGTGTCGGGCGCCAACCCAAGCGTCGAGCATGGCCGAGGGGTTGGGCGAGACAGAGTGCCAACCCAAGTGTCGAGCGCCAAGCCAAGCGTCGGGTGCGGCCGAGGGGTCGGGTGAGACGGAGCACCAACCCAGGTGTTGGGCGCCAACCCAAGCGTCTGTGGGGGTATTAACCCCTATACCCTTACGGCTAGGCTTGGGCCGGCCCGGACCAGAGGGTCTAGCCCACTAGGAGACGACGCGTGGCCTAGTCGATCTACTCGGAGTCCCGCGCAAGGAATCAAGACAGACCTGGAGATCAAGCAAGATCCTGGTCGGTTAGAATATGAATCTTTATCCGGCCACCTATGGCAATTGTAACAGGCTAGGATTAGTTTCTAGATCTGTAACCCTGCCCCCAGACTATATAAGGTGGGCAGGGGACCCCTCTAAAAACATCTCTCATTGACATACAGCAATACAATCAGACGTAGGACGTATGTATTACGCCCTCACGGCGGCCGAACCTGGATAAAACCTCGTGTCTGTCTTGCGTCACCATCTTGTTTGTAGCTTGCGCATCTGTCTGCCGATAATCTACTACCTTAGGCATACCCCTGGGTAGACTGCCGACCATATTTCGTCGACAGTGGCGCGCCAGGTAGGGGGTGTGCGTACTGCTCCCCAGAAGAACAAGATGGTCATCATCCCTGGATCCATGGCTACGCCGAACGGCCTCACGTTCACCATCGGCCAGATCACCTGGACCACTGGCTCCAACAACTTCATCGCCATGACCACGGAGGAGGCGCGGATCCGATCTGCGTCGACCCCTGCTTCACCGACATCGGCTATGGCTCCGACCACGTTGAATCTGGCTCCGGCTACACCAGCATCGTCTTCGGCCATGCCGACAACCCGTCGTTCCCTTCCTCACTACAAAGGGAGGCAGATCGACAACACCGACCTACTCGACTCCATCGATCGGGTCGGCACCAAACTCGCCGAAACCCTAGCTCTGGTAAGTTCGATTCAAAGTCAACCTAACGAGTAGGTAACCACTACCCACAATAGATCTACCCGATCGGCTCGGGCCAGTCATCCTGCATGACTCGGTATGGATCTCGTGGTCACATCTACTCCTGAAGGGCGCTCCGTTCGACGTCGGCCAGCCCCCGCGATGGGTCTCCGGCTCTCTGAGTATGAAGCCTCGATGGAGAACTACCAGCCTCAGCCCTATGGCCTACGCAACTTCGTCAACTTGGTCCGGATTGAGGAGTATCAAGAAGGATCGGTCCACACTGTTCAAGAGGGTGGCTCAAGCTCCCCGTCCGGTGTCGCATCTAATGCCTGCATCCACACCGAGATCCAGCATCATGACAACGAAGGCGTTGAATGTGATCTGGATATCCCAGACCACGCCCCGGGTTTTCCATGATTCCCATCCTTCCCACCAAGGCGAGGAGACTTGATCAATGTTGTCAGTAATGACAAACCACAGGCAGCTGGCGAAATAGAACAAGAAAGGTTGGCACGCGAAGCACGCAATATTGATCGGTTTAATCGCCGACAAGTCGAAGCCGAGGCAGAAGCAGAGGTACGACGCATAAGGGTCCAGCCACGCGACCTTAACAATGCCTTTGATAGGGTGGGGGACAAGCAGGTCTTCAGGACTCCAAGCGCCAATGTAGTTGTTGCTATGGCGACGATGCAACGACTACCCAATACCCCGGAAATCTAGGCAGTTCGTGATGATATACAAGCTTACCTGACGGCTGCTATGGCCTAGACCGCAGAGATTGCAAATCAAGCCTGGGTTCCGTCTGTCTCAGTCGAATCAAGCCACAGCCGCCAGTACTCGAGTCGCTCACAGCCACCCAACCAACATGGCTCGCGCAACAACGACCCATCAGACAGCCATCAAGGCGGAAACGGTGGTCACGATGGTGGCCGAGATGACAACCGCCGAGACAACCACGATAATCGCCGTGATAACCGTGGTCGCAGGGTCAACCAGGGGGGCAATCGAGATCACCGTGATGGCAATAACGATCTCCGCCATTACCTCAGAGAACGTGATCTGCACGGTCGCATTAACCGAAGAGCCAACGATCGTGCATCCCATGAAAGCTATCACAGTATGGAATATGATACCACCCACGGCCCTTTGGGTTTGAAGCAGTTTACCTCTCACCTTCGCCAAGTCATATGGCCCAAAAACTTCAAGCTCGAAAAACTCCAGAAGTACGATGGTAAGGAAAACTCCTGAGTTATGGGTCATGCTCTATGAAACTGCATGCAGATCAGCCATGGCTGACGAGCATGTCATGTCTAATTACTTCCCAGTCGCCGTCGGCCATGCAGGCCACCAATGGCTGGTCAGCTAGCCGGCGAACTACTTTGATTCTTGGCAAGAGCTCAGGCAAGCATTCATTGATAACTTCATTGCTACTTACGAACAACCTAGCAACAAATATGATCTGCAGCAGATTCGAGATCGCAAAGATGAACCACTTTGCGAGTACGTCTGACGCTTCTCGGAGATGCGCATCAAGGTCCCGTCAATCACCGACAATGAGGCAATCAAAGCTTTCATCACTGGTCTCCGTTTCCACGACGCCCTAAGGGACAAGCTCCTCCGCAAGAGACCTGAATCGGTCACAGCGCTCCTAGCCACTACTAAAAAATATGCGGATGCCGATGATGCTAAAAAGATAATTGTCGAAGAAGCAGCAAGGGTTCCACACTCCGACCACCCCCCACACCGCGATGACTACCGCGGCAACCGTGGTCGGAACGACAATTTTGATCGTCGCAACCAGCGCAACGACTCCTGCGACCACCACAACCAGCGTACTCAGCGGCGTAATCACCGTAACGATTACAGAGGCAAGCATGCTCGGGAAGATGACGGCGAAGTTAACGCCGTTAAAAAAGGTGGTGGGCGTCGCAACTACGAAGACGACTACGCCAAAGCATTGAAAGGACCCTGCCAGCTTCATCCCAAGTCAAACCATACCATGGAGAATTGCCGTGTTCTCAAATCTATCTACATGCGCCAACAGGCTCCGGATACATCCGATAAGCCTAACGACGTAGGGGAGCAGCGTAACGAGGACAATGATGATGAAGACGTAGATCCTCGTCACAAGTACGTCAAGCCAACCGACCGCGTCCACACCATCATTGGGGGCAGAGTGTCCATCGAGACCAAACGAGAACGCAAGCTGC